GTATCCCCACCACGAGTCGATTCTTCACTTCGCTGTCGGGTGCTGGCGCCGCCATCTTGATTAAGGGAAACACAGTGAAGCCTTGTGGCTTCACAGCCAATTTCCTACTGTGCATGAACGAAACGCGTTGCACTTTGTGAATGGGCCACCATCCTCTGGGACTTGTGATGTATCCTTGAGGGCTGTGAGGGGAAGGGGGGGGGGGGGGTGTCTCGGTCTGCCATGGCGAACTAAGCTGGAAGTGGGAGCAGGTAACTGTCAAAACAGGAAGAGGTGGAGTCCTCAAAACGCGTTAGCAGTCCGGGGTTCCATTTATGAACCTATATGCGGTATGGATTGGACACCGCTGTTTAGTGTGGCGTGCCTTTGGCGTTGATGTCAATTGTGAGTACGATACTTTTTATCCTTTCCATAAATATTATTTTTTTTTACGATAATGCACTAGGCCGGTGCACCTTCTGTTTGTTTGTTTTCTTTGTAACCTGTCAAAACCAGGTGGAGAGGAGGGTTTTCTTAGCTAAGCACAGCCTCCTGTCTGCATGCCTGAGTTAAGGGCAGGATTCCAGAAAGTGAATGCTACAGGAATCCTCTGCCCTTACTCAAGATGGCCGCAGCTAGAAATCCTAGGATGGGGTTTTCAGAGTAATTTCTCTGCAAAATAAAGCATGGAGACATGGATGGATGGGGGAGTTTGCGTTTTAATATGATAAACAAATTAAATAGCGTTTTTGGTTTGTGGTGCTCCAGTGCCGTGTAGTTCCGCCTTAAGAGCCATATAAGTGTCAGTATTACTGCAACGCACAAAGAATTGACTCTACGATTTTTATAACCCTCAAGTCAGATTCTCAAACGACAGGTTGATGTATTACAGCCAAACGTTAGACTTTGTGGAATTAAAAAAAAAAAAATTATCGTCGTCGTTATGGAAGATGTTGTAATACTAAGTAGTACTGTATGTTGTCTTGGGGCCCGGCTAGCTTTTCTTGATCTACCACAGGCACGTAGGCTGGTCACTTTGTATGGGAATTTTCACTTTGCCAGTGGAGTTTCCCTTGGTTTGGTCATGTCTTTCAGATGCAGAAGTTGGTGGGGTTGTTAGAGGATTGGTCATCTGTGAGCTTTGTGGGGAGGAGAGCTGGTCAATAGGGTCTTTTTTACAAGTTCAGTAAGGTGCACAAAGAACAGAGTAGCATCACTTTGGTGGTAGATCGTTGGCAGCACGGTGCAGTAACCTTTGGTAAGACTGTGGAATTTCTTGGATGTAGTACCAGCAGGAAAGAAGCTTATTACCAAATCTATGGAGTCCAGTAGTAAATTTGGTTCCATTGTGAAGCTGGGAGCTCGGGTTCCATTGTGAAGCTGAGGTCTTCCTTGAGTCTTCCTTGCAGAGGTTGAGGTCTTCCTTGCAGAGGTTGAGGTCTTCCTTGCAGAGGTTGAGGTCTTCCTTGCAGAGGTTGAGGTCTTCCTTGCAGAGGTTGAGGTCTTCCTTGCAGAGGTTGAGTTGAGGTTCTTCCTTGCAGAGGTTGAGGTCTTCCTTGCAGAGGTTGAGGTCTTCCTTGCAGAGGTTGAGGTCTTCCTTGCAGAGGTTGAGGTCTTCCTTGCAGAGGTTGAGGTCTTCCTTGCAGAGGTTGAGGTCTTCCTTGCAGAGGTTGAGGTCTTCCTTGCAGAGGTTGAGGTCTTCCTTGCAGAGGTTGAGGTCTTCCTTGCAGAGGTTGAGGTCTTCCTTGCAGAGGTCTTCCTTGCAGAGGTTGAGGTCTTCCTTGCAGAGGTTGAGGTCTTCCTTGCAGAGGTTGAGGTCTTCCTTGCAGAGGTTGAGGTCTTCCTTGCAGAGGTTGAGGTCTTCCTTGCAGAGGTTGAGGTCTTCCTTGCAGAGGTTGAGGTCTTCCTTGCAGAGGTTGAGGTCTTCCTTGCAGAGGTTGAGGTCTTCCTTGCAGAGGTTGAGGTCTTCCTTGCAGAGGTTGAGGTCTTCCTTGCAGAGGTTGAGGTCTTCCTTGCAGAGGTTGAGGTCTTCCTTGCAGAGGTTGAGGTCTTCCTTGCAGAGGTTGAGGTCTTCCTTGCAGAGGTTGAGGTCTTCCTTGCAGAGGTTGAGGTCTTCCTTGCAGAGGTTGAGGTCTTCCTTGCAGAGGTTGAGGTCTTCCTTGCAGAGGTTGAGGTCTTCCTTGCAGAGGTTGAGGTCTTCCTTGCAGAGGTTGAGGTCTTCCTTGCAGAGGTTGAGGTCTTCCTTGCAGAGGTTGAGGTCTTCCTTGCAGAGGTTGAGGTCTTCCTTGCAGAGGTTGAGGTCTTCCTTGCAGAGGTTGAGGTCTTCCTTGCAGAGGTTGAGGTCTTCCTTGAGGTTGAGGTCTTCCTTGCAGAGGTTGAGGTCTTCCTTGCAGAGGTTGAGGTCTTCCTTGCAGAGGTTGAGGTCTTCCTTGCAGAGGTTGAGGTCTTCCTTGCAGAGGTTCTTGGGATTTTAGTAGGGATGTCAGTGTGGAGTAGGCCTGGGAGAGAAAAAAATGCTCAACCAAGGGGGTGCATGGTCTTGGCAGCCAGTGTTTTGTGGACATAGAATGAAGTGTGCAATTTGGAGATGGCTTCATTGGAGGAATTTACTAAAACCGGAGAGTGTGAAATTTTGTGCAGACCTATTGGCTTCCAGGTTTTGTCAAGGCTTGATTGAGCAAGCTGAATTTAGAAGCCGATTGGCTCCCATGCATAGCTGCACCAGGTTGAGTGCTGTGGTTTTAGTAACCCCCCCCCAATGTGTCAAGCTTTTGGATGTACAAATGGCTGCAGGAGATAAACTATGCTGAGATTTGAAATACGAATGGGGGGGGGGGGGGGAGAGATATGTGAAAAGTATTGAATAGGTCTGGCCATTGACCATTTGATTTTCGATCCATCAATTGGTAGGCTGGTGTACTGAAGCTGATCTATTGATCCACTTCAGTACAACTAGCTTGTCCAGTTTTTTTTTTTGTTTTTGTTTTATATACAAGCGGTGATCATTGTATTCTGCCAGTGGGGAAGGCTCCATGCTCTCCCTGCTGGCAAACGTAAAGATGGCGCTATGTGGTTCGTGATTGACGGAAAGAATAGCCAAAGGACCATTTTATACAGTGTTGTAACAAAACGTGGAGGTTTACAGCTCTCTAAATACGCCGGAATGCTATGTGATTCATTGCCATGGGATGTTCGTTTTTCTGGCTATTTTATAGGTAATGGGGGGTCATCCTGTAATGTCATGTTTATCAGACAAAGGTCTGAAACTTTTCATATGGTTGGAGTCCTTTATATTGGATATGTAGACTATAACTGCTCAGAGCCAGGTAGACGGTGTCATGTAAAGCTGTACATGGCAAAATCTGTATTTTGAGCCTTTTTACTGCTGTGAATTGAAGTAGGAGCTCCATGGACCCTATGAATCTGCGCCGGCATGTGTTGGGTTGCTCAGATATTCTGCTGTCATTTATACCTTTCAATGGTTACTACACTATATTGCCAGAAGTATTGGTCCAGTTGTCCAAATCATGTGATTCAGCTGTTCCAATCCCCTCCATATCATGTGATTCAGCTGTTCCAATCCCCTCCATATCATGTGATTCAGGTGTTCCAATCCCCTCCATATCATGTGATTCAGGTGTTCCAATCCCCTCCATATCATGTGATTCAGGTGTTCCAATCCCCTCCATATCATGTGATTCAGGTGTTCCAATCCCCTCCATATCATGTGATTCAGGTGTTCCAATCCCCTCCATATCATGTGATTCAGGTGTTCCAATCCCCCCTATCATGGACACAGGTGTATACAATCAATCCCCTAGGCATGCAGACGGCTTCTACAAACATTGGTGAAAGAATGGGTCGCTCTCAGGAGCTCAGTGACTCCAAGCGTGGTCCCGTGATAGGTGGCCACCTGGGCAATAAGTCCATCCGTGACATTTCCTGGCTACTAAATATTCCACGCTCAACTGTTAGTGGGATTATAACAAAGTGGAAGCAACTGGGAACAGCAACTCAACCACCAAGTGGGAAGCCACGTCACATGACAGGGCGGGGTCAGCGCATGCTGAAGCGCACAGTGCGCACAGAAGTCGCTAACTGTCTGCAGAGGCAATAGCTGAAGACCTCCAAACTTGGTGTGGCCTTCAGATGAGCCAAACAACAGTGCGTAGAGAGCTTCATGGAATGGGTTTCCATGGCCGAGCAGCTGCATCCAAGCCTTCCATCACCAAGTGCAAAGCGTCGGATGCCGTGGTGTAAAGCACGCTGCCACTGGACTCTAGAGCAATGGAGACATGTTCTCTGGAGTGACCAATCACGCTTAAGTGTCGTTTTGGCCGTTGCCAGGAGAACGGTACTTGCCTGACTGCATTGTGCCAAGTGTAAAGTTTGGTGGAGGAGGGATTATGGTGTGGGGTTGTTTTCCAGGGGTTGGGCTTGGCCCCCTTGTTCCAGTGAAGGGAACTCTTACGGGGACATTTTGGACAATTTCATGCCCCCAACTTTGTGGGAGGAGTTTGGGGACGGCCCCTTCCTGTTCCAACATGACTGCCCACCAGTGCACAAAGCAAGGTCCATAAAGACATGGAGGAGCCAGTTTGGGGTGGAGGAACTTGACTGTCCTGCACAGAGTCCTGACCTCAACCCCATAGAACACCTTTGGGATGAATTAGAGCGGAGACTGCGAGCCAGGCCCCCCTCCCCCGACATCAGTGCCTGACCTGACAAATGTGCTTCTGGAAGAATGGTCCAACCTTCCCATAGACACCCTCCTAAACCTTGTGGACGGCCTTCCCAGAAGAGTTGAAGCTGTTATAGCTGTAAAGGGCGGGGCCAACTCAATATTGAACCCTACGGACTAAGACTGGGGGGCCATTACAGGTCGTGTGCGTGGAAAGGGCGGGGCCAGTTCAATATTGAACCTATGGACTAAGACTGGGGGGCCATTACAGGTCGTGTGCGTGGAAAGGGCGGGGCCAGTTCAATATTGAACCCTATGGACTAAGACTGGGGGGCCATTAAAGGTCGTGTGTGGAAAGGGCGGGGCCAGTTCAATATTGAACCCTATGGACTAAGACTGGGGGGCCATTAAAGGTCATGTGCGTGGGAAGGGCGGGGCCAACTCAATATTGAACCCTACGGACTAAGACTGGGGGGCCATTACAGGTCGTGTGTGTGGGGAGGCCGGCGGTTCAATACTTTTGGCGGTATAGTATAGTTGTACAGTTACCAAGCGGCGCTCAGAACCACAGCCTACATCTCCGGTTTTTGTCATTTCAGATGTTTGGTTTCCTGTTTTGCTCGTGGCTTCTTTCAAGGTTTCAGCGTACTCTTCGCTGTAGTGCTTTGCACTTAGTAGCTTGTTGCTCAGCTTCCAGATGGCTCTTTGGGCTTGCTCACACTGAGTCATGACCGCGTTCGGAGTGTTTTTTTAAACTCCTGGTAATACATACGACTTAAACAAAAAACAGAACCCTTTTTGTAGATGACAGCATTGCAGCAACATATGAATACTGTTGCATGTTACTTTCTTGGCTTTTAGCATTGTGCTTCTTCCCTGAATAGAACTTGCCGGTCATGAATTGCTGATCATGCCGTGCTTGGAAGTCTGCTTCATGATGAGGAAACTTTTCTCTACTGCAAATATTGGGAGTACAAGGAAATGAGCAGATTAGTCAACCTTTACACTCACCGGCCACTTTATTAGGTCCACCTTGCTAGTACCGGGTTAGTTTCTTTTGCCTTCATTCTTATGGATTCAACAAGGTGTTGGGAACGTTCCTCAGAGAACGCTCCGTATTGACATGATGGCATCACTCAGTTGCTGCAGATTTGTCGGCTGCACCTCCATGATTGGAATCTCCTGTTCCTCCACATCCCAAAGGGGCTCTATTGGGTGGAGATCTGGTGACTATGGAGGCCATTGGAGTTCAGTGACCTCATTGTCATGTTCCAGAAATCAGTTGGAGATGATTGGAGCTTTGTGCCGTGGTACATTTTCCTGCTGGAAGGAGCCATCAGAAGATGGGGACACTGGAGTCAGAGGGGTGGACATGGTCAGCAACAATACTCAGGTAGGCCGTGGTGTATAAACAATGCTCAATTGGTACTAAGGGACCCAAATTGTGCCAAGAAAATCTCCTCCACACCATGACACCACCAGCCTGAACTGTTGATACAAGGCAGGATGGATCCCCCACACCATGACACCACCAGCCTGAACCGTTGATACAAGGCAGGATGGATCCCCCACACCATGACACCACCAGCCTGAACCATTGATACAAGGCGTTGATACAAGGCAGGATGGATCCTCCACACCATGACACACCACCAGCCTGAACCAATGATACAAGGCAGGATGGATCCTCCACACCATGACACCACACCACCAGCCTGAACCATTGATACAAGGCAGGATGGATCCCCCACACCATGACACCCCCACCACCAGCCTGAACCGTTGATACAAGGCAGGATGGATCCCCCACACCATGACACCCCCACCACCAGCCTGAACCATTGATACAAGGCAGGATGGATCCTCCACACCATGACACCACCAGCCTGAACCGTTGATACAAGGCAGGATGGATCCATGCTTTCAAGTTGTTTACGCCAAATTCTGGCCCTACTATCTGAAGGTTGCAGCTAAAAATCCAGACTCATCAGACCAGGCAACATGTTTCCAATCTTCTATTGCCCAATTTTGGTGATCCTGTGTGAATTGTAGCCTCCGTTTCCTGTTCTTAGCTGACAGGAGTGGCACCGGGTTGTGGCCTGCTGCTGTAGCCCATCTGCTTCAAGGTTGGACGTGTTTGTGCGTTCAGAGATGGTATTCTGCATACCTTGGTGGTAACGAGGGGTTTTTTGAGAATGTGATTTCTCTTGTCAAGTGACTGACTCAACTTGTATCAGAAATCGCATGAGTGAGACCCAGCACTTAAATATAACTAAAGACCTATATTTGTGTTTTGGATGGAGTGAAGATTTGAACACCTTGCAGGTTTTTATTGCTGTCTGTGTCCACATTAGTGAGATTCACCCTCCATTTGTCAAGTTTATTATCACTGAAAGTGAAAAAAAAAAACCCAAATTACAGGGTGTTCCCCCAAACAGAAGTAGAGGGAAAACCTTCCAATGGGGAACACTAGTCCTGGTGACCAGGGATTCCCTCAATTTGGAGGGATTTCCTCCCTTCCAGTGTTGGCTATGGGACAGGAAGTGGAGGGAAATCTCACCAGTTGTATGCAGATGACAAAACACTGACGGGTATGGATCCTCCATTGGGGGGGGGGGAGGGTAGGGGGGGGTTGCCGTCCGTCCAGCTTTACGTCGTATTTATCACTATTCCTATTCACTTTCCCTAAACTAGATCAGCCGGGTGATTCTGGGGTGTTAAAGCTTCTGATTTGTTAGGTTAACAATAAAAAGGTTGGTTTATATGTCACTTGTTCTAATATGTTATATATATCTCAGACGTCTCCCCAGTACCTGTCGGACACATTGTGTACCCCCCCCACACACACAGTTTTTGTTAAAGAGGCACTTTAAAGGGTAACTACACTTTTGTGGGAATGAGGGAAAGGATGCCGACCCTGCCGCTTTCCTCATTGGAGCCCTGCAGGTGCAGCAGCTTTTTAATTATAAAGTCCCTCCCATTCACTCTGCACAGGACACAGAGAAACAAACCGATTTCTTCAAAATAGCAAAAAGTAGGAATCTGCAGCCGTGTTTTATAATCCCTGCAATGTACAGAGATCACCCAGAGGGGGGAGGGGTTCTCAGCAAAAGTGGAGTTACTTGTTAAGGCCCTGGAAACATACTGCAGAGGAAGAACACGGGTCACGGCAAGAACATATAGATATGAGTTGTCGTGTTCAGGCAAGCTTCACTATACATTTGGCAATAGCGTATGTAGTGTGTGTACTTTGTATGTATAAAAATATATGTGTGTGTGTGTATATATGTGTGTGTATATATATTCTCTATCATTATACACTATATTGCCCCAAGTATTGGGCTGCCGCCCTTTCCCACACACATGACCTTTAATGGCCTCCCAGTCTTAGTCCGTAGGGTTCAATATTGAGTTGGCCCCGCCCTTTCCACGCACATGACCTTTAATGGCCCCCCAGTCTTGGTCCGTAGGGTTCAATATTGAGTTGGCCCCGCCCTTTACAGCTATAACAGCTTCAACTCTTCTGTGAAGGCCGCCCACAAGGTTTAGGAGGGTGTCTATGGGAAGGTTGGACCATTCTTCCAGAAGCACATTTGTCAGGTCAGGCACTGTGTGTCGGGGGAGGAGGCCTGGCTCGCAGTCTCCGCTCTAATTCATCCCAAAGGTGTTCTATGGGGTTGAGGTCAGGACTCTGTGCAGGACAGTCAAGTTCCTCCACCCCAAACTGGCTCCTCCATGTCTTTATGGACCTTGCTTTGTGCACTGGTGGGCAATCATGTTGGAACAGGAAGGGGCCATCCCCAAACTCCTCCCACAAAGTTGGGAGCATGAAATTGTCCAGAATGTCGCCTTAAGAGTTCCCTTCACTGGAATTAGGGGGCCAAGCCCAACCCCTGAAAAACACCCCCCACCATAATCCCCCCTCCACCAAACTTTACACCTGGCTCAATGCAGTCAGGCAAGTACCGTTCTCCTGGCAACTGCCAAACCTAGACACGTCCATCGGATGGCCAGACAGAAGCATGATTGGTCACTGCAGAGAACACATCTCCTCTGCTCTAGAGTCCAGTGGCGGCGTGCTTTACACCACGGCATCCGACGCTTTGCATTGCACTTGGTGATGGAAGGCTTGGATGCAGCTGCT